TGGCGTGTCCTGTAGTCCCAGTGCTGGGAAGGTAGAGACAGATGGCTTCCTGGAGACTGTTGATCAGCCAGCCTAGACAAATCAGCTGGTTCCAGTCCAGTAGCAGACCCTGAAACCAGGTGAATAGCGTCTTGAGGAATAATATCCAAGGCTGATCTTTGGCCTCCATATGCACACACACACATGTGCACATGCACCTGAAACTACATGTGCACTCCTATAAACATGAACACACACACACACACACACACACACACACACACACACACACATGCATGCACGAATGCACATGAATGTATAGTAGAACAGGTAGTTCCAGAAACAGGACTGAAAGCCTTTGTGAAAGATTTAGTAATGGTCTTAATCCAGGGGTGACAAACTTCAGCTTTTAGGCAAACATGCTTGCTGCCTATGTTTCTAAATAAAGTTTTATTGGAACACTGTTACACACATGTTTACTTACTGCTGTTTTTATTCCACAATTGTGGAGATGAGCAGTTGTGGCAGAGATGGTATGGTGCACAGAGCCAGAAGTGTTTACTAGACAGCCTTTCATGAAAAGCTTTCATGTAATGATCAACTCCCACTTCCTTTATTTTATATTTTGCAGTGTCCCTGTTATGGTTAGAGTGCGAAATAACCCTCCCAAGCTCATGGATTTGTACTCTTGGTTCCCAGATGGCCATGCTGTTTTAGGAGTGTGCTGGATAGTTTTATGTCAACTTGATACAAGCTAAAGTTGTCTGAGAGGAGGGAATCCCAATTAAGAAAATGCTTTCATAAGACTGTGCTGTAGGCAAGCTTGTAGAGCATTTTCTTAATTAGTGATAGATGTGGCAGGGCCCAGCCCATTGTGGGTGGTTCCATCCCTGGGTAGTGGACCTGGGTTCTGTAAGCAAGCAGGACGATCAAGCCATGTGGAGCAAGTCAGTAACACATGGTCCTTCCTGGCCTCTGCAATCAGGTCCTGCCTCCAGGTCCCTGCCCTGCTCGAGTTCCCTGTCCTGGCTTCCTTTGAGGATGAACTGTGATGTGGAAGCATAAGCCAAACAAACCTTTTCCTCCTCAAGTTACTTTGGTCATGGTGCTTTATCACAGCAGTAGCACACCCTAAGACTTTCAGAAATGGTACCAGAGTAGTGGGTAATTGCTGTGACGGACCTGACAATGTTTTGGGGAGGATTGGGGAAGAACTTTGGAATGTTGTGCTGGAAGAGCCATTGAGTGTTGAGAGCTCAGTGAGCTGTTCTGTCGGAGCCTGGGAGATAAGAATGTTTAGGGCAGTGCAGATGATGGAGGTCTGGCTTGCAAAGTTTCAGAGAGAAGCAAAGACTCTACCAGGCCTTTCGTGAGAAGAATTTGTGTGATTCTGGTTAGCTAGAGCTGAAGAATCAGCTGTGATTAAAAGAAACCAGAACCACTAAAGTGAAACCTTTGTTTGGCTGGGACAACAGATGCTGCTTGGCTGGAGCTGAGACATTAGCGGTGATTAAAAAGAGAACAGCATTGTGGAGATGAAGTCTTCTGGGAGTCATCTTTCCTGAGAGTCAGCACACAGAAGCTGCGTTCCAGAGGCGGCCAAGATTGTACCTCGTGCTGGTAGCCAAACTTGGTAGTCCTGGCTTTGAAGGCATGAAGGGGTTGTTCAGAGCAGCTGGGGCTCGGCACTGTGAGAGGCCTGGAGAGGTCGTTGGTGAACGCAGCCTCAGTGGTAGTTGAAGGTCAAGTACTGAAGGGGTCATGAAGAGAAGTTGAGGCTTGGCATCATGAAGAGAGCCCAGGAGAAGCTACTGGTGAAAGTGCAGCGGAAGAGCCCAGCATTTTGGAGAGGCCAGTACCATAGCATGACCACCAAGAACAGCAGCAGCAGGGGAGTGGATGCAGCCAGAGTCTAGATGACAAGCTGTGTCCTGCAGAGGGTGGAGCTGGAGAAGGGACCCAAGCTGTTTCGAAGAGCCCGGAAGATGGTGAGTGCGTCCCAGACACTGGACATTGTGTTATTTACACTGTTGGGAGTTTGGTTTTGCGTTGGTCTGATTGTGACTCTGCCCTGGTTCTTCCTTTATTTAACTTAATTTTTATTTTTATAGGAGGCCATAGTTGAGAGACTTTACACTTAAAAAAAAAGATTTTGGAGTTTTACAGAGTGTAGCTGGAGCCTTTTTTCTGTCCTGCTTGGTCCTGCAGCAGCTTATAAAATAATCACTCAGAGGCTTAATATTAATTACAAACTATTTGGCCTCTGGCTCAGACTTATTACTAGCTAGTTCTTACATCTTAAATTAACCCATTTCTATTAGTCTATGTATCACCATGTGGCTGTGGCTCACCAGTACTTTCACACATCTTGCTTCTTGGGTGGCTTGCTGACATCTCCCTGACTTCACCTTCTTTTCCCTGTGTCTCTGCTTGAATTTCCTGCCTGGCTCTATCCTGCCTTGCTATAGGCCAAATCAGCTTCTTTATTAACTAATGGTGATAAAACATGCACAGCCTACAGAAAGAAATCCCACAGCAACAGAGTCTTTGGATTTTAAAAGAAATGATATAAATATATATTTTTTCAGAGCTGAGGACCAAACCCAGGGCCTTGCACTTGCTAGGCAAGCACTCTACCACTGAGCTAAATCCCCAACCCAAGAAGTGATATATATATATATTTTTTTTGGTTTTTTTTTTTTTTGAGACAGGGTTTCTCTGTGTAGCTTTGCGCCTTTCCTGGATCTCACTCTGTAGACCAGGCTGGCCTCGAACTCACAGAGATCGGCCTGGCTCTGCCTCCGGAATGCTGGGATTAAAGGCATGCGCCACCACTGCCCGGCTAAGAAGTGATATTTTTAAAGAGACAACTTTTAACGTGTTTGAATTTGTAAGGCTGGGGGACTTTTTAAGTTTGTAAAACATTTTATATAGTGATGTTGGTATTAATGTGTGATCTTGGGGATGAACAAGGAAGGAAAGGTTGTGGCTTAACAGTGATGTGTTTGTGTGTCAAGTTGACAAGGGATCATTTGTACTGGATAGTTTTATGTCAACTTGACACAAGTTAAAGTCATCAGAGAGGAGGAAACTTCAATTAAGAAAATGCATCTGTAAGATCAGACTATAAGCATTACTTGGCATTTTCTTAGTGATTGAGGGGGAGGGCCCAACCCATTATGGGTGGGGCCATCCCTGGTCAGGTGGTTCTAGGTTCTATAAGAAAGCAGGCTGAGCAAGTCATGAGAAGCAAGCCAGTGAGCAGAATTCCTCCATGGCCTCAGTAATCAGGTCCTGCCTTCAGGTTCCTGCCCTGCTTGAATTCCTGTCCTGATAGCCTTTGATGACCTGTGATGTGGAAGAGGAACCCAATAACCCCTCTCCTCTCCTCTCCTTTGGCCATGCTGTTTCATCACAGCATCAGTGACCTTAACTAAGACCAGGAGGTTGTGGAACCCTTTGAACCCTTCACCTCTGGGCTCATCCATGCACCTTTGGACTTGCTCATCCTTGTGCCTCTATTGTTGACATGAAAAATGCCAGGGCTAGTCTCTGGGAGGATGAGGGACATGTGGGATGGAATCAGTATCTCTTAGGTTGTCCCACCTCAGGCTAGCCACTATCCACTGTTTCCAGCCAAACTCCAGGCCTGTGAGCCAGGACAATCAAGACCTGCAGCTATTAGACAATGAACAGCAAAAGCCAGTTACTTATGCAGAATTATAGCAGCAGATTAAAGGATACAACTCTCTTGACAATTACATGGGAGTGAAGGATATATTTTAGAGACGGATAAACCTGGATTTAGACCCCCGACTGAGCTACTTCTAACTAAATAGTGACATGACTGTCTTTCAAACCATGTTGCCTCCCATCTGTTTCTCACTGGCTCTTGTAGACACAACTGCTTTCTTGACATGGGCTTTGGAGAAACTGAAGATTGTATCTCTCTATCTCTTGAAGATGGGCATATTCCATAACTTATCATGGTGAACAGACTGTGGGCAAAAGTCACGTGCCATTTCTGGCAAGATCATCCAGTTACCAATTTCCTCCTATTTTCCCACCCATCGTGGCACCAGAGAATAGGCTCATGTGGGGTGTAATATTTAGCTGCCCCACTGAGTATAGTCTTATTGGATGGTAGCCTGGATTGGAGCCACAGGGGACCTGCTGGGGGGCGGGGGTGAGAACCTAGCTTTTGCTGTGTTAAAGTGCTGGAACTTGGAGAATGTGAGTTGAGTTGCTATGGTTGAGTGAATAATTTTGGGGGGGGCATTTTTAGAAATGGCTACAGTTGAGCAAAGCTGTGGTAGAGAGAATTAACCATTTCCTGAAGAAGGCCTACCACTGGGCAAGGAGTAATAGGAGAAAATTAGGCTGTATGTTGCTAACTCCTGGGGTCCAAACCCAAACCTGTCTCCACAACCACATGCCCAGATGAAGTAGCTCCATCCTTTGACCCTTAAGGGATGTACCTAGATTATTTTTAGAAAGTTGTGCTGGATTCAAGGAGAGAGTGGCATGGGGGCACATCTCAGGTCCTGTAGAGGAGCTGGTATTGTGATCCATGTGACAGGCTAGGGTCCCTCTGGGAACTTATCTGAGCCAATGGACTCTGCGTTATACTCGGGGAACTCCTAGGTCACTTCCAAAGAAAGTTAAGAAGATGTGTGAGGATCTTAGGAGCTGTGAAGGTAAGAGGCCAGAAGAGGAGACAAAGAATCAGGGGACATGGTGGCATTGGTAGGGGCACATCAGGAACCACTGGAGGCAGTGTAGAGGCCAAATGCAGGGCCTAGGACCCCAGTAGGCCTAACTTTGAATCTTGGATCTTCTCTTACTTGCTCTGTGACATTGGGTAACTTATTTAACCTCTCTGGTTAAATAGGGCTAACCATAGAACCAATTTTGTTGGGTTGTTGTGAAGATAAAAGTGTGAGAATAACTATAAAAGACATATAGTAGGTAATTATTGGTGATACTTTAACTTTATTTTTATTTATTTATTTATTTATTTATTTTTTAAGTCAATGCTTTTTATTATCAGTTACATGCTTTCATAGACAGGTGTGGAGAATAGGCCAGGGTTGTAAAAAAACGACGTTTCTACACATTGCTCTATTTACACGCAGCTGAGGGGGTCCCACTTCAGGTGCAGCAGCTGCGCTTGTCCAAAGCCTCTTTGCAGATGCAACCCTGGGAGCACTTCGCACAGCCCACCGGGCAACAGGAGCAGCAGCTTTTCTTGCAGGAGGTGCATTTGCACTCTTTGCATTTGCAAGACCCGGAACAGGGGCAGGATCCATCTGTGGCACAGGAGCAGTTAGGGTCCATGACGAGTGGAGGCGGCAGCCGAAGACCGACGACAAGCCGGAATCGAAGTGCTAGGGGACGGTGTGACCAAAACTTTATTTTTTAATTTATATTTTATTCTTTCAAAATCTCTCTCTCTCTCTCTCTCTCTCTCTCTCTCTCTCTCTCTCTCT